TGATATCGCATCAACCTGTTTAATTCTCTGCATAGTACTTATCATGACCTGATATTTTTCTTCTTTGCTTTTGTTTGTTTATGGCCTGTCTCTCTACACCCAGTAGAATGTAAGCTCTATGAGAGCAAGAGCCTTGTTTAATTTGCTGCTGTGTTCCAGAAAAATACTATGTGCAACAAATATTTTTAAAATAATTATTTGTAACTACAGTATATGAATGCACAATGAATGAATGAATAAGCCACATACACCACCGAGTCCACCCACCCAACCTATGATTTTTGGCAGACCTAAGGACTGTCTACATGGAGCCCTTCCACTTGGTGGTAGCAGAGTTGAGTGCCAGGATTGAGGCTTAAAGTTTGAGTCACTCATGTGACTGTTCTGAACGGTGGGTTGGTATTGCTGTGACGGAGAAGGCAGGCCAATAATCACTGTCCTAAGAACAGCCCAGCAAGGCAGGGCAGAAGTTATATGCAGGACCCTGGGCAGTAATTCCCTCTCCAGTGAGCCTTTTCCCTCTAACATGAATGAGGATAGAGTATGTAAATCCTAAGAGTGGTCAGAAGATGAAAAGGGAAGATAGAGAAACCGAGTTCATTTGGGATGAAAGTCTTCCACCAGCAATTGCCTTGCCCACACTCCCACCAAGAGTTAGAATAGAGTAGGCAAAAGGCTTTAGACTATGAAGAAGGTGTATATATCCCCAGGGTAGTCACCCTGTTTCTTTACCTGAATGGTCTTACTCTTGGTGGCTAGTATCCCATTAACTGGGATTAGAAGTACCATCACCCCAACACCTGCTAAGACTGAGGGTCCCAGCTCTATCCACAGGAAGTAGATAGATAAGATAATTTGCAGAACATTTGACCACAGCATGTGGATGTAGCTGGTCACGTCCATGAGCTTCTGGGCATCCACAGACATCAGGTTCACAGTTTCTCCAATGGTGTACCGCTTCTTGGCCCGGTTGGACAGGGTCAATGCCTAAAGATAAAGATTGGGATTGGGATCCATGGACAAAGCCAAGAATACTGGGGAGTAAAAGGAGAAACTCAGGAAGTGAGACTATAATAGAAGGATGGGCTCCACAGGATGGGCACAACTTTCCAAGGGGCTGTGCCTCTTGCCTCCAAAATCACACACAGTGTTCTCTCTTTCTTACTACTTTTTCCTTCTATAACCACCTTTCCCAAACCTCTTCCCCTTACACACTTCTTTGCTCAGAAAACTCCTATTTATCCTGTTAGTATCAGCTTAGATGGAACTCTGAGACTTCTCTGACTCCCAAGTTTGGGTTGAAGATTGCTCTCTTGTACACTCACATAAAATTCTGTGCTTAACTCTATTGTTACATGAATCACACTGAATTGTAATTGTTTTGTTTTACTATTTCTCTACCAGATGTAAACTCTGTGAGGACAAGGGCTCTACCTGTTCATTTCACTACTGAATCACATGGCACACAGGAAAGAATCAAATACTGAAGGATGAAAGGGAGGCAGGGATAATGAGAGGAAGCATGTATTGATTCTGACCTTGCAGACTTTTGATGTAGCAATGTTACTTGGAGTCTTACTCTTATAGGGAGTTAGCAACCATTCCCAGAAAGGACAGAGATCTTAAAAGAGAGGAAAGCTGCAGGGTTCACATATTGGAAGCAAAATGACTTATTATTAGGAATTTGCAGGCAATATCTAGACCCTAAATCTTACAGTATGGGCCTCCTGTTCTCACATTAGGGAAATCAAAAGACTGATACCCACAGGTCTGTCACTTACAACAATGCCTTGCATAAATGTACCCAGGCAAAAGACTTGGGAATTAGGCACTGAAACCGGTTTGTGCTATGCTCACCAAGCCACTGCCTGGTGTGGGTTACATCCTCCTGGAGGAAGGAGAGCCTTCTAATTCCTACAAACAAGTATATGGGTTATTAGCAGCCCTAGATATTCACTTCCATCCTCCTTCTAGAAGCTCTACTGTCATTTTATCCACCAGTACATTCTTCTTTGGAATAGACCAGGATTCTTGTCTGTATAGTGAAATATCCTAAAATGTTAGGCCACCAAGGTTCTAGAGAAACCAATCCACTCCTATGCCTCCCCTTTGGTATAGAAAAGAAAAGAAAAGAAAAAGTAACATCTAACTACCCTTCAAGGTAATATTATGCTTTTCTTTTCTCAGTAAATCTTAATGAAGTGGAAAAGTCATTGATTTAGTGCCAATAGCCCTTATCTGGGGCAGGTCCTGGCTATGTGACTGCAGGCATTGAAATGATCTCAGCCTTACTTCTCTGTAAAAGAAGGATAATGAAGTTACTGCACAGAGCCTTGAGTGCTTCATATCATTTCATAAATGAAGCATTGTCTAAACATATGAATTAATCAACTTTAAATTCTAGTTTACTTGAATGAAGGTCTCATTAAAGGCTTTGTTTTACAAATCATTTGTGGATTGTACAGTTACAAAGCCTGGAATATATTAAGAATCAAAATAGTGGGACTGAATCATCACAATTGTAAAATTATACATTTGTAGAAATGGCTTACACAGCCTGGTTAGTGACTTCTTATCCTGTAAACCAGCAGAAATCCAGTATCTCCAGAAAGAATAAAAGGGTTAAAAATTAAGTTGGAGGAAGACAAATTCCAGTCTTTGAAATAAGGGTATTTCAAAGTTCAAAGGATTTGACAGACTTCTGACCGAAAGACATGTGGATGATCTGTTTGGGTCTCTTGATGGGTCAATATGTACTCAGGGAAGATGAAGTCACATTGGTGTTGTAAGAGAGGAAAGTGAAGACCAGGAACTGTAAGAGAGACATCAGAGTGATGGAACTCTCTAGTGGTAGAAGAAAAAGAGGAAGAGAAGCCAATTGTTTAATGTTCTGGTATATAAAGAATTCCTATCTTCTCAGGTAGGAATTTTCTTCTCAGGCTTATAGTAATGGATCATAACCACTCTATTTTAATTATTTCTCTTTATTTACTTTTTCTTTATTGTTATATAATTGACTCCATTTTCATTTCTTATGGGACAAAATGAAACTTCACCTTTGTATCTAGGACATAAGGAAAATACAGTTGCCCCGAAAAAGTTAAATGTTAAAGGCAGCATATCAGAGGGAAGATGAGGAACGTATCTTAAAGAAAGGGAAGAGCTCCCAAGTCTGCAGAAGTCAGTGGCCAGTGTGAATTTATTTACAATTTGAAAAAAGGAGTCAGGCAGAGGAGGGGTTTATCAGCAACTAAAGATTAGAAAAATGTTGCTAGGCAACAGTGGGTCCAGAGGAGAGCCCTCACCCCTGCAGCATTCTAGTCCACAGCAGTACTGTAATTGGAGATGGAGGCACCCAGTCTTATGAGCCCAGTGTCATGTAGTATTTGGCTTAAATATTGGTGGTTTTAAGGTCTGTTCTTGGCCAACTTCTTTTCTGACAGTGCATTCCTTCCCAAGGCATTCTCACCCTGTCAAGACAGGCAGGACGAGAGGGGCAGGTGTGGAGGCCTCCAAGGCTGAAAGGCAGAGGACAGACTGCCAGCTTTTCTCTTGAGGGTATTCCTGCCACGCCCCACCCCTGCCAGGACACACAGCACCCTATGTCTAGGAGTACACTTTTCACATTTTATGTCTATGAATACACTTTTCACATTTTATGTCTACAAATACACTTTCCACATTTTAATTTCTAAAGAAACATCTAAAGGAGGCCATATGGTCAGTCAAAATTGGGTGTTAAATTTCCATCAAATTTTCCTCAATCTTGGAATAAATGCTCACACTTACTAAGGGGACTTTCTTCAGTGATGCCCAACATATCCCACTTACCTTCTTATACACAGAAGCCATGATGGTTGTCCGCACATGCATGCCCAGCACGAAGCACAGTTGAAAGTAATACTGCAGGCAGATGGACTGGAAGAGGGCCACGGCGAACAAGAGGACTGAACAGAGATACCCAGTCCACACATACGAGTCCCGGTCATTTGCGAAGGAGATCAGAAGTCTGTCAGAGCAGAACCAAGTCAGGGGTGCGCCTCTGGTCTCCAAGGGCTCCTCACACTCTGGGGCACAGCCAGCTACTCTATCCTTACCCTGCAGTTAACAAAAGTGACCAGGATTACCCAGTGCCTTTGGAAGATGTGAGTGCACTGTTGGGCCAGTGCTCTTGCTTTTGCTTGGAGATGAGCAGCAGGAGCTTAGGGGGACGAACCATGGCTGTGAGAGGTGTAATGAAAGAAATGCTCCACAGAGCTGCCACTGCCATGCTTTGGCTGGGTGTGGGACAGGTGGATTCATTCCTAGACAGTGCAAGCCTAAAAAGGAATTAGGATGTATATCCCGCATGAGTTAGAAGGGCTTCTCCTAGGGCATAATTCATTCCAGACATCCCAGCAAACTACGATGTCTTATCATGATTAACCTGAACCTCCCATTAGGCTACAACTGTGGAGAGAGGAGCTTACAGACACTAGGCAAAAGGCTCTCCTGGAGCATGCTGTCCACCTCTTGGACATAGCACAGCCCATAGCAGTTCTCTTTAACAAGAGCCCCTAACAAGCATCTGTCTTCTTATGAGGGGAGGGACATGGAAAAGAGGGAGGCTAAAGGACATATCATCTTAGATCTTTGTGCTTTGCATGAATACAACACTGTAAAGGGGAAGAAAACTATGACCCACCCATTTTAAAAAGTGGGAATTCAATAATAAACTTCTGCCTGCATACATAAGGGGCAAGCAAAAAGAAGAATGGCTGTGGAGGCTCTGAAAGGACACTCCAAGGCCTGGGGACTTACTTCAGCAGCTGAGGGTTTGCAAATATGAAGATGTCATGCAGTAGCTTCAGGAGTAATGATTTCAGGAGCACCATGTAGAAGGTTTTGAAGAGGGCCTTCACCAACCAGGACTTGGGAAAGTCTTCTGTGGTGCCAGACTTCTTTTTTTTCTTTTTAGCTTCTTCCTAGGTACAAAACCAAACAGCAGTGAGCACAGAGCTGTGCAGGGCAGACTCTGTCCTGCACTGAACAGCTCCACAGTGGTGAACCCTTGAGTCCTGCTGCCTGCTTTCCACAGATTCTGGTCTCCTCCTCATGGCACGATTGCCATCCACCCTTTCAGCTGCCATCAGTGCTCTCCTTTCTCCCCCTGATATCTGATCAGATATCAGGTTAGAAAACCAGGCAACCAAACTGGTGAGAATACCATGTAAAAACGAAGACTAGACTCCCACTGGCAGCCTGCAGGGCAATCAGAGCGAAAGGCATGGACGTGGTGATATATATTTTTTAGGTGCTTAGAAGCCTTTTTGGGTTTTTCTTACTTGTGGTAGCTGTGGGATGTTATGGGTTGAACTGTATTCCCATGAAAGAAATGCTGAAATCCTCACCCCAGCACCTTAGATTGTGCCCTTATTTGGAAACAGGTCCTTTGCAGATACAACCATGTTAAGGTAAGGTCATTAGGGTGGGCCCAACTCCATTATGACTGGTGTCTTTATAAGAAAAGAGACCCAGACACAGAGAAGATAGCCGTGTGATGACAGAGGCAGAGACTGGAGTGACACATCCAATGCCAGAGAACAGCATGGCTGGCTGGCAAGCACAAGAAAGTCAAAGAGGCAAGAGAAGTTGTTCCCCTCACTGTTTAGAGGGACTGTGGCCCTGCCGATACGTTGATTTCAGACTTCTGTCTTCCTGAGCTGTGAGATAATACATTTCTGTTGTTTTCAGCCACACAGGGTTTAGTACCTTGTAATGGCAGCCCCAGGAATCTAAGACGTGGGATATTACCACTCACCCACCGGCCTTCTCCCTTTTCTGTGTTTTGCTCTCCTCATTACATTCTCCAGAGTCCCACCGTGACCCAAATTCCAGCTTCTCGTCCTGTTTCCCCAGTTTCTCTACTAGTGACATCCTCTTGCAATTTCTCTCACTGAGGTCCCGTCTGCTCAGTCTCTTTCGCCTGGACAACAAGCCCCAACCTGCTTCCCAGATTCCACTCTTGCCCCCCTCAACGATCCATTCTCCTGGCAGCAGCTCAAGTGGGCTTCTAAAAGTACAACTCTGATCGCATTACTCCTGTGTGCAGAACCTTCTGCTGGCTTTCCACCAGTCCTAGATCCCGGACTCCTTAGTATAGTCCACAGTCCACTTCCTGCCTGCTCTCCCGAGCTCATCTCTCCCCACACTCAGTCTCCCCCTCCATGCTCCAGACCATCTCTCAGTTCTCAAAACGAGCTAAATGTGTTCCCCTCTCTGCCTTGTACTCCTGCTCCCTCGGACTGGATGACTCTTCCTTCTGATGGTCCCCAAGATAGACTCTGCTCAATGTGTAGGTTTCTGCTCAAGTGTTACTTCCTGTAACAAGAAACCTCTCGTATGACCCTGAAGTTACTTTACTCCAAGTATATTAACATGTTTTATTTGCTTAATAGCATTTATTACTCTAAAAAAATAACATGTATTAGTTTATTATTTATTTTCCAGCTCTCTAAAGATGAGGACTCTTTCAAGGCTGTTCTTTGTACCCAGTGCCTAGAATGGTCTCTGACTCATAGAGGTACTCAATAAATATTTCAAGTGAATAAATAAATGAATTAACGCTAATGCTAAAGTCCTCTAGGGTGCAGATTGTAGTAATGCTAAGGTATTATTTTATTTTGGTCTTCTACTTTCAAAGACATTTTACTATAGAAAATTTCAAATATACCCAAAAGGAAAGGAACAGTACACCCTGACATATCCATCACTAAGGTATTATATAAATACTTTAGTATAAAGTGCTGTCAAAATGTAAGGACAGAATCACCATGTCTCTGATGTCCTCTGGCTTAAAACATACAGCACATTTACGCTGAAACACATGGGAAAGTTACCAGCACAAGGACATCTTGACTTTGACTCTGATTCTTGTTCAACCCATGTAGCCTGTCGCCAGAGTTCTGCCGGGAGTTCTTTTCCTGCCGTCTCTGGAATGCCTGCCTGGCCTTCTGCAGCTCTCTTGCCATGCACTTTTCAAACTTGCTGACAAGTGTCTTGGTTTTAATCTCTTCATCAACATCCCAGACATCTTCAAGTGTCAGAGGTTGCTTGTAGCCTTTCAGAACAACACTGGAACAAGAGTGACCCACAGGCTGGGTCAGAGGCTGTCTCCTTGCCGCTATCAAAACCTGCCTCCCAGTTCCATGATGGAGGGACAGAAGGACAGACTTCACCCCTGCCCCACTACCCTACTACTCCATCTCTTAGCCCTCTGATCTTGACAGAAGAGAAGGGAGGGCAAAAAAGAATTGCTTGTGGGTGACAGGAGGTGGGAGAAGACAGCAAGAGGGAGGGGCGGGCCTCTACTGAATCAAGAACCAAAGGAGCACTGCCTCCCCCTGCCCTGCTCCTTCTTCCCCGAGCAGTGACTCTGCTGCTGTGCCAACCCCCTGTGGAGCTTCCCCGAGCCCCTTCAGGGGCGGAGTGGACCTGGAGGCTGCCTCTACACTGTCTGTCTGAATTAGGGCTCCTCAACCTGGGATTTGAGAACATGGATAGAAAATAAAGTATATCTTCATGTTTACTAGCTTCTAACTAAAACTGAGCCTTTCCTTCTAACGTGAATGTAGGGAACCAACCACAGCTGGTTGCCACCAGGAAACACCACCGATGTGTCATGGCTCATTATACTCGTATCACTGCTTTGAAGTTGTGGCCCTATTAGGCTCATGATTAGATCTCATTATTTAATGCATTAATAAAAAAGCATTTGTATTACTATATCACTAAATTGACTTTTTTGGTGAAATGGTTTTAAAAATATATATATTTCAAAATATTTGATTTCCTTTATAATCCCATGTCTTTTATTTTATGCACTTATAACACTATCTGAGAAGGAATTCATGGGCATTACCTGCCTGACAAATGGGGTCCGTGGAACTGCAAAGGCCAAGAATGCCTGCTCCAGATGTTCTGGTAGCCCAGGCCAGCTGTTTGTTCCCTTATCCTCCAAATCTGTGCTACACTGCCTACCCCCCAAATTTCCCTTTTCCAGTCTTACTGCCTCTTTTTCCTACGGTTCTTCCTTTTCTTTGTGGAACCTCCAGACTCCCAAGAGCAAATCCCTCTCCATCATCTCCTCAGCATCCCAGTCTGCTCAGTGAAGGGACTGAACTAAATTGATCTGTAGGTTTTAACATTCTCTGACTCTCACTAGGAAAATGAGAAATGGAGGCCACAGGAGGCATTTTTAAAATTAAGATCTCCATCATTTTCAAAAGAGTGAGGGGGAGGGATATAGACAACCCATATTCCAGCCATTTCCTACCTGTCAAACCAACTAAAGGTAATTCTACTCAGAAATGAAGCTGTGGATGATGGATTCTGCAAGACACACAAAAAAATCAGAAAGTAAATCAGACACAGGAACTGTATGGGACTCTAAAACCAGAAACTGTTTTTTCTAGATAGAGTGTGCTAGAACTAGATATGATACTGAAGTAGGCTAAACAACATACGTTTATTTGGAGACTCTAAGGTAGAATGATAATTCAATTTTCTGGCATGATGTGTGAATGGATTGTCTGTGCTGAAGATTGGTGGATCAATGTAAAAGTCAGTATTTCCATACTCTAGTCATCTTATGCCATAAATGCCATAAATGGTCTAGACTACTGTGTTCTGGGTTTAGGGGACCTCCATGAGACCTAGACATCTTGAAGCTACATTTGTGAAGATACCATCCAATTAAGTAATACATGAGGTGGGCATATTCAGTCTCACATTTGATGAGTCATCCTTTTCTGAAAATGCTGAAAGGATCAGGGTCAGGATCTGGAATGCATAGCAGATGAAGTACAGGCAGGAGTAGGCCAGATTAGAATTGCTGTCCTAGAGGGGGAAAAAATCCAAAAGAGATAAAATGAGCCTTTTATTCAAATTAAGTCTAAATGGCCCCTATGTATCAATGCTTGTGATTAAAGCCTATTATCAAATCCCCTAAATACAATTTGATCCTGGAGTTCAAATGACTTGATGCCATTTAATCCAACTCAGAAACTGCCCAGCAGCACCTCCTCATGTCACTTTTTCTTTCCTCCTTACCTTTAAGAGTGTCCGGATCAGAGTTTGAAATTGGAAAGTGCCACAGAGTATTGAGAGAATCCAGAATAGGGATAGGAACCAAGAGTCCTTCTGCACACACCATCGCCTGCTGTGTTGGATCAGCAAAACCAGGAGCTAGAGGGAAATTCACATCGATCTGAAAAATATTGTCACTAACCAAGAACAAGAGGCCAGAAGGATGTAGAAAGGAGGGGTGAAAGAGGAGATTGTTGTAACAAATTTGGCCAGGCAGAAGGCACACAGATGCCAAACTACAAATTTCCTCCCTGATACTACCCAACTTTCTCTTTCAGGGCCTCAGTGACCTTCCTGGGACCATATTCCCCATCCCATCTCTGTTCACCCCACTTGGGGAGTGAGTTAGTCAAGAACACAGTCACCATCTGCATTTTAATGGAGTTACTTTGGGAGCCAGGAAAAATCTTCTCAAGACCCAAAGAAATTAATTTCAGGCACTGTAGCCGTCAAGCGGAGGGAACATTGTGCTGGTTAGAAGCAAAGTGTCTGTATTGTGATTTTATAATATCAGACTAAGCAATTAATACTGATGATAATTAAAAACTTGCCTTGTAATATCTCACTTAGATACAATTATTAAATGTTGGTTTCCTAGATTCAGTGCTATGCTAATAAACCAGTATTCTAAAAACAAGGCCATGATTTGTAGCATTTGCCTATTTCCATGGTATAAATACTCCCACTGTGGTGGATTTCAAGCTCCAACACTCGTCACAAAACTCAGATTTGGGGAGAGATGTATTCCGTCTTCTCTGTGGGCCAGCTCCATCACACCACTGTCTAGATCCTTCTTTGTTTTATAACAATAGTAAAAACAATGCCTGCTGGGTCCAGAATATTCATGTCACTGAGTGAAGTAAGGGTGGGACACTGTGCTAAGCTCATGCCTGATCTAACAGTAGCAACTGCTGCTCAATCCTAGATGACTATTGCCCTGTGGGAATGTAGGCCCATAAGTTGCCAGACATTCTCATTTTTTTAAGAAAGTTTGGAAATCCAAATAATAATGTGGAATTTTCCTTTTTTAAAATGATGGCAACTAATTCAGTTTTTTAAACACCATACACCACCTCTCCCCCTTCACCCCCGCAAAAAAAACCATGTCTGCAGGAAAGACATCAGTTTCTGTCATCAAGTTTGTTCAAACAACTCTAGACTTAGTGATCCATTGGTTAGAGTCACCAGTCAATTTTAAAATAATATTTATAGCATTTAGGAAGTTATTTTACAACAAGAAACTTGGATTTCATGTGTAAATCTTAGATGGCAAGTTATGAGGGCATAAGATACATAGCTTAGTCATTAAAGTTCGTACTTACACTAGGGAGAGGGCTCTATAAATAGGTGTTCAAAAGAAGATGAAAAGCTACCATTATAACCATGCTTTGTTTCATCACAGTCCCTTAAAAAAGGTAGATGAAATTAGACTTAATTTTATTCCAAAAGAGTACATTTCAGCTAGGTAAGTAAGAGTAAAGAGAAGATAAACAGGGCAGAAGTGGTGATGGACCTTACCCATGTGGCCAGGTAAAGGCTTGGGTTGGTATATCTAATGGCAGGGACTGTGGCTTGTCCAGAGTCTTCTGTGAGTACAAGGGCCAGCTCTATAGCTGCTAAAATAAGAAGGAACACAACAAGCACCTGAGAAGGGAAAAATACACTGTTAGGAGGGTAACATCCTTTAGGATAGAATGGTTCCCAGTAATAGATGGTAAAAATCCTTTAAGATCAATTTCATTAGTACTTACAGCAATGCAAAGTAAAACTACGATGTCATTTTTGTACATAAAATTCTACTTGGTGCTGGCAAGGGTGCAGAGACATGTATTTTAACACATTTTTGGTGAGAATATAAATTGGCAAAAATCCTCCTGGATTATAAAAATTCTCCATTATATTTCAAAAGCCTTCAATTGCTCATATACTTTGATACAGTAATTCTATTTCTACAAATTATTCTGGAGAAATAATCTGAATTGCAGACAACTATTTGTGTGCAAGAATGTTAAGTAGAGTCTCATTTTTAATAGTGAAGAATTTATAAAACCTACAATAACCCAAAACAGTGGTGGAGGGGATTGTTGGAAGGAGCTAATGTTGCAAGAGTTGTTAGAATAAGTTATGGTATCCTCATTCGATGAGCTATTATGCATTAACCAAATTATGTCTAAGAATGATGTTCATAATACTGGGAAATGCTTTTTATATCATCTTAAGTGAAAGGAATAGACTACAAAATTCCACACACAATGAGTTCAATTATGCTTTTAAAATATGCATAGAAAAAAGTGACAGTTTCCCACCAATATGCCAGATTTAGTACACTTGTCTAACCTTCCATCCTTTCTCATCCTATTGAAATGATGGCAAAGAAGTACCCAAGAAGTAAATCCATAACAGCACTGAGAATAGGAATGGAGAAAAGTAGGCTCAGTAGACCAGATGAGTTTTAAAAGACAAAAAGCAAATGTGTTAATAGCAACAGGAAAAAGAGCAGAGAAAACCAGGCCCAACACACACAAGAAAAGGCAGCAGTGGGAGGGAAGCCGGAGATAAACTGTTGATTGCTGTGCTTGTAACTATGTCTGCCCCAGCAGATGCACTCTCCACGCTTGTCCCTTCAAGCCTAGAGTGGTAAGAGTTTGCTGCTAAGCCCCAGGTCCCTTTGTAAATACACCTCCTCACATTATCCTATCTTGCCTCAGCTGTCTGTTTCTGGTTGGAACTCCTTGACTAGTAGAGCTGCCTACTCAAGGCTATTCTTTTCTTCCTAAAAGGGCCTCCTTTTGTAAAATCTACCCTATTTAGCTCACCCATGTTTGGGAGGATGCTAGACCCATCTCTAACTCCATGAGATGAATTAAAACCAATCACAATGATCCCATTCCTCTGGCCTCTGATTGTTTTACCCATAGGCATATGGCACAATTCTTGCCAAAGAGAATAGGGAACAGCTTGTGGGGATGAGCTTGTGGGGCTTCTAGAAAGGTTTCCCTCATTGATCAAAGTGATACATTGATCCAGAATATATAATGGATTCTCCATAACTCAACAAGGAAAAGACACAACTCAACTTAAAAATAAGCGAAGAGTTTATTTGAATAAGTTTTTCCAAAGAAAGTATGCCAAAGGCCAAAAAGCATATGAAAACTTGCTCAACATCATTAGTTATTAGGGAAATGCAAATCAAAACCACAATGAGATATCATTTCCTACCTGCTAGGATAGCTATAATTGAAATGATGGACAATAACAAGTATTGGTGAGGATATGTGTTAGAGGATATGTGTTAGAATGTAAAAGGGTGCAGTTTGGAAAACAGTTTGTTGTTTCTTCAAAATATTAAACATAGAGTTACCATATGACTTAGTAATTGTACTAAGTATATACCCAAGAGAACTAGAAACCTGGGTCCACCCGAAAACTTGTATACAATGTTCCTAACAGCATTTTTTAAAACAGACAGGAAATGGAAACAACTGAAATGTCCATTAATTGGTGAATGGATAAACAAAATATGAGACATCCATACAATGGTATATTATTCTGCCATAAAAGGGAATGAAAAATTGATACATGCTACAACATGGATGAACCTTGAAAACAGTGCTCAAAGAAGCCAGTCACAGAAGGCCATGTACTGTATGATTTCATTTATATGTGAAATATCCAGACTAGGGATAGAGACAAAAAGCAGATTTGTGGTTGCCAGCAGATGGGGGAGAAGGGAATAAGGAGTGACTGTTTAATGAGAACAAGGCTTCATTTGGGATATTGAAAAGTGATGGAACTAGATAGTAGTGATGATTGCACAATGTTGTGAATGTATTTAATGTCACTGAATTGTACACTTTAAAATGGCTAAAATGGTAAATTTCATGTTATGTGCATTTTACCACAATAAAAAAAACTTCAAAAAAAAAAGAAATGAAGTACTGATTTATACTACAATATGTATAAAACTTGAAAAATTATGCTAAATGAAATGTCACCAAAGGCTACATGTTATATAAATTCCATGTATATGAAATGTTCTGAATAGGCAAATTCAAAAACACTGAAAACAGATTATTAATTGTCAGGGATGAGGGGGAGAAGAGAGCAGTTGGGCAATGAGGTGTTAGCCTAATAGGTATTTTTGGAGTGATGAAGATATTCTGAAATTAGTGGTCATGATTGCACAATTCTATGAGTATACTAAAAACTACTGAATTATAGACATTAAACAGGTGAGTTCTATGGTATTTGGATTATATCTCAATAAAATTAGTTTTAGGCAATATATAGTTTCTTTATCTGCCTCTGGACACTGACTTGAGGGTGTGATACCTGGAGCTGTTGCAGCCATCCTGCAATCATGTGCTAGCTTGATGACTGGCTTGATATGCTGAGGTTACCAGAATAAAGAAGAAAATAATCAGCTATCTGTTGATGTTGTTGAGTTTCTAAAGTAATAAATCCTGGTGCTGCACTACCTCTGGACTTCTTGTTACATAAGATAATAAATTCCTTATTGTTTAAGCTAAGAGGTGTGACAGGTGAGACAGGCCTTAAATGATATAAATCCATTCTTTGTAGTCAGCTCTGGCAGAAAGTAAGAATGAGAAATAAGACAGAAATCAGAGTCTTAATTGAAGTTCTGTGAACAGAACTGGTACAGTCACGCCAGACACTTCCTTCCTCCTCTCACCTCCAACCCATCACCGCAACTCCACTGACAGCTGTATTTCCAACTAGCACCCCCAGACAGGCTAAAACTGAATTACCTTCTAAAGAAATGAAATGCCTTCTGTAAGGAGGACTAGGTGGGTACTGTGGGTCTTGGTGACTGGGATAAATTCATCTTCATTTGACACACGGTAGGGGTGGAGGAGTACAGCCCAGGCTCCTGTGCTGGGGGAAGCCAGTAAGTCCAGACAGCCATCCAGAACTCATGGCTCATCGAGAGGCAGTCCTCTTACCAAGAAGAGGCCAGCTGAGGAAGCAGATGTAGTAATGGTAGAAGGACCTACTCCAGTCACATATGTTCATTAACTTAATCCTTTGTGTATAAATGCAAACACAACACTAATAACCATGAGGAAGTTAAGAGAAACCAATACTAGCAAAGGAAATAGTATAATTAAATGGAATAGCTGAGCTTGGATGGAACAAATTATTAAGTGAACAAGATCATTTTAAGTCATTTTAAAATTAATGTCCTAAGAAAGATTCAAGAAGACATTGCATTGAGAAGAAGGTTGTTGTTTAAAAAAAAAAGGTACAATCAGAAATAAAGAAGAATTTTTAGAAATCAAACTCATGGCTGCTAAAATAAAGGCTTTTCAGGGTAACTGGAAGAAAAAAATTGGGGAATCTCTCAGACACAGGTGAAAAGAGAAAAATAAATTTTAAAACCCGAAAGAGAATGAGAAACTGAGAAGGGGGATCAATTCAGAGATTCCAACATCTATCTAAAAGAAGTTCTGAAGAGATGTAAACTCAAAATTGGAGGAAGAGAAATGAAAGGAGTAGTATATGAAAGTTTCTCAGAGGTGAGAAAGACATGAGTCTTTAAGTTGAAAGTATAGAATCCACTGAATGAAAAAAGGCCCATGTAAGTGGATTCCATGAAATTTCAGGACATCAAGAATAAAAAGGATAAAGCTTCTAGAGAGGAGAACAAGGAATGAGGAGGATCCTAACTTGGCAGAACAGGACATTGCGGAACAACATAGCAACATCTGCAGAGTTGAAAAAAAAAATGTTTTGAGCCTAGGATTCCAAATCCAGACGAACATTTTCAGAAAGCAAGGACTTAGAGACTTTATTTACTGTTGCTCTCTCAGAAAATTTTATTTGAGGATATCCGCCAGATCCAAGAAATTTGAGGGCCCTATTTCTCTCATCTTACACAAAGGGACTTCAAGATACAGAGTCTAAAATTAATGACAGATTATTTTTACAAATAAACATAACCAACAGAACAATTGAAAGTAATCATACAAAATGAAATGACTGAAAGAGGAGAAGAAAAAGAAGATGGGCAAGGTCAATGAGCTAAGTTTCTTGTTTCATAGAGGGCAAAATAAATCTTTTTTGAAGTTAACAGGTGAAGAAGTTCAGGCATAAAACATTATTTGCAGATAGGGAGGTATCCACCAAACTAATTTTAAATGGAAGCTTCTGGGGAAGGAGACTAGGAGGTAGCAAGGTGAGAAAGAGAATTTTGCTTTTCATTTTGTATTTTTTTTTTGTTCAGGTGTTTTTGTTGTTGAAGAGAATGGGAGAAAACGTGCCAAAATGTAAACAGGAGTATATCAGACTGATACAGTTATAAATGGATTAATTTTCTTCCTATTTCCCAGAGTCTCCAAACGTTCTATAATAATGATGCATTATTTTAATAATCAGAAACATACAGATGCTTTTATTAATTAAAATCAGGAAAATATTGTGGTTAGTTAATGATTACTAAGTCTTCAAGCAATCTTTGTCCTTGATCTCTGATTTATTGGAGGAGCTTCAAGGGCACATGGACTTTACTACACTCAGTTTCCTAAGGAGACACAATCTCACTGGTATTAAGAAACGTAAGACATGTTTAATCTCTCTCCATCTCTGCAAGGTCCTCCTTTTCTCAGTGCTTTATGAATGACAAAGCACAATGGTGAATCTTCCATCCAGCACAGAGTGTCCACTAGTGCAGCTAGACTACTAGTTAGTGCAAACTGACTCAGATCAGATGAGGTAAACACTGCACTATGACCAAATAAGAGCAGCAATAAAAATAGTTCAAGAGTCAGAGAAACAAACAGCCCAAAGGCAAGTAGGAGAGAATGCAGAGAAATAAAATCAAGTTGAGATGTAAGCCAAGAAGATTCTTATAGATGAAGTAAAGTTTTCTTTTGTAGGGAATTATACTTCTCACTGTTTCAAAGAGACCAATTATTTTGAAAACGTTAAGAGGAAGCTAATTTGTGCCAGTCATGCTCAGGGCAGAGGACAAAAAAATAAAGTATAACTTGCTAACAGAGTTTCTGAGACTATGAGCAAACAAGAGTGGATTATTAGCTAAAGAAAAAAATAAAGTTCATATAGTTGAGCTTCGGATAGTGGGTGATTAAGGGCACCAACCCCCATTCAGTTGAAAATCCATGTATAACTATTTTTTGAAGTATAGTTGATATACAATCTTATATTGGTTTCATATATACAGCACAGTGTTTCAACAGTTACCCACATTATTAAATCTTCACCCCCAACTACTTCAGTTATTATCTGTCAACATAGAAAGATGTTAAGGAATCATTGCCTATATTCTCCATGCCGTACTACATGTAATTTAGACTTCCCTCAAAACCTTAACTATTAATAGTCTACTGTTGACCAAAAGCATTACTGATAACATAAACAGTTGATTAACAGATATTTTGAATATGCATTATATACCATATTCTTTTTTCTTCCTTTTTTTTTTTTAATTCCTCTTTGAGAGGGTGCACTGTTCCTGGAAGTACTGCAATACCAGGTCGATGTGTGGAGTGGACGGAGCAAGCTCCTATTCCATCTCCCTGCTCCAAAAATCCACTTAATATATTGTCCTCGGATAGAGGGCATATCAGATATTAAACTGATAAGAACAGATACTACACTTGATCTTGGCCAAAAGGCTGAAAAGCGATTACATACTGTATTCTTATAATAAAGTAAAGAGAATTGTTTTCAATTGTCAGAAAACTCCAAAAAATTTCTCAATATATTATTGAAAAAAATCCACAGCTAAGTGGACCTGCTTAGGTCCATGTTGTTCAAGGGTCAACTGTACATTGCTTTTCTTTTTCTCTATAGAGATTGTGTTCATAAAAGTTACACAAAATGTGACATATCCATACTATGGAATATTATTCAGCCATAAAAATCAGTGAAGTACTGATGCATAAACATGGTTGAACCTTGAAATCCTTATGCTAAGTGGAAAAAGCCAATCATAAAAGACCACGTATTATTATATGATTCCATTCATATGAAATGTCAAGAATAGAGACAGAAAGTAGATTAGTGGTTACTTAATGCTAAGCAGGATGGGAATATAGGGGTTTTTTTTTGAGAGAGAGAGTAAAAATGTTCTAAAGTTGACTGTGGTGGTGGTAGTTGCACACATCTGTGAATATACTAGAAAAAATAGAATTCATTTAAGTGGGTGAATTGTAAGTGAATCATATCTCATAAGGCTGTTTTTAAAAAATTAATAGCTATGATTACAACGGGATAGTGTTTTACTCATTACCTAGCCTTTTTTTTTTTTTTGAAGCCCCAGGAAATGCCGAAAGCCCCAGCACTGGACTGACTTTAACCAAAAGTTCTCACTCGTGCCCAAGGGTGTTGAAGCATGTTGTTCAGTGTTTACAGTTTAACATGCTCTTGACTCAAGCCCTACTCCTACAGTTTAATACCAATGGTCAACAAATTCATATGGAGTGTTAGGCCCTGTACTGGGCACCTGGGTCAACAAAGCAGACAACCCTGCCCCAGGCTTTCAGAGACTGTTCTTTTCCTACCCAGAGTCCCACAAAACCCAACACCAGCACCACCTCAGAGTATCAATGCAAATCCCCTTTTCTTTGGCTAAATTCCTTCTTCTCTTTTATATTCCAGGTAGCCTGAGATCATTGGTGTGTTCGCTCATAGAACACCCAGTCTAATTTGCCTTTCTAAAATGCTGTTTATAAAGATCAGACAGATAGGGGGGAAAACTAGTGAAAAGAAGCAGGTGGTGGGTTTTATGAAGCAGCTTTTCAACCTCAGTCGAGAGTCCTTCAGTTCCCCCAAGACCCTCTTTGCATTAATCAGTGGAGCTGGCTGATGGGTTTCTCCCCTCATTCCTCCTGGATTCTCCTGCAACACCTGTCCTTTCCATATTTCCCTATTCGGGCATGTCACTGTGAGCTTTCACCCTACTCTTTCTGTGAGTGATCGTCCAAAACCATGGAAGACTTGAGGAGAATGAAAGCCTTATTTCAGATCTGAGTTTTGGGAGATGAGCAATGGTTGGATTACCAGAATGACATAAAGGACACGTTTCATTTTCACCTCATGGTAGGTACCAACTGAATTAAAGACTCCTGAATTACTCAAACAGCTTCAAGACCGTCCAAAGTTTGTTTCTCCAATATTGAAAAGACAATAACTATTTGATTGATTACTCATCATTGGTGTTTAGGGAATGCAATATCGGTAAAATTTCTTTTATCACTAGAAGACTTTTGTCACTATACTTGTGCAAAAATCAGAGTCATCTTAACAAATATGGCAAGAGTCCATGAGGCATGGGGCAGGTGGAGAGAGAACATCCAGAGCCTGCTCTCCTGGAGACGTCAGCACCTGGGAAAGCTCGTTAAAGATGGGCAGGAAGACTGCTGAGCCACCAAGAAAATGTCTCTATTGTGCACCAAGGAATTAGTTAGGAAATAGTGGTGTTCCCGTACCTGCTTAGCAAGGTAGAGTTTGGTTATAGGAGATCTCTTGGTCCTGGATCTATATACATGGAGAAGCTGCCAAGGGGCCAGGAGCCAAAGGAAACCCAAGGGAATCCACACCAGAACAGTTTGCTCAAAACAAAGTGGCAGGTCCACCTCCGGGCTATCCAGGAATGAGGAATTCTGGGGAACAAAATGGAAGGGTTGTTGGACACACCCATTTCTGAAGGCAGAAGACCAGCCCCAAGCTTACCCCCACCCCCTCCCATTTCCAAAAAAATTTAACTCAGATTTATATCCATATCCAGCCTGACCCTTTGACTAGTTGCTTTTTCCTATTCATCTCCATTGATATTATTTTACCTCTTAATGACATTGAGTGATTTTTCCAGCCAGTCAAACCTCAGAAACCTTCCTTTCTATGATTCTAAGTGAATTTCTCCACCAGCTTCTCTGAGTAAACTCCACCACTGCATTTGCCAAGTTGTGGGAAGAACTGGGACCAGCTGTTCCTCATACACAGGGGAAAATAGCTCCCTGGGATAGAGAAATTTGTTCCTCTTATTCTAGTTTTTAGCACCGATTGAACTCCCTGGTGGACATTGAAACATGCACGCAGCAGAATGTTGGTCACACTGTAGCATTTAGCCTCCTCTAGCCCAGAGCTCTGAGATCAGAACCCGAGTGGACCTTTAGCACAGAAGTGGCACCGGCACTGTCGGATGGAAGCTTATTCCCTTTTCGAGGTGAGGGTGGAGAGCGCCAGTTCTTTTATCTGAGTCATGTCAGAATAGATTTTTCTCTTCCTATAAATATTTTTAAATTGTTTTGTACACACTTTTTAAAGAGAAGTTTGAGGTATCCTGAGCAAGATGATCTGTCAAATACTTCTCAGAGAGAATTCTCAAAAGATGGCCTGGCAAGATCCTGGGGTTTATTAAGCCCATCTTTCTGTGTCCTGGCCTTAAGGGCCCTTGGGGCCAAGTGCTTTCTAAGATGGGACCTGCTATCCACATGCTCTGCTATCTCGTTCCTGCTCTTTTCATCTCTCCATAAATTTATCTGACTTAAAAATTCAGAAGAATTACGTATATTTAAACCATTTTAACAATGCTCCAGGTGAATCTGATGTTGATGCTAGGCATTTGCAGACCATACTTTCTCAGTCACTAAATCTTATTCTCTATTTTGCAAACCACTTGGTACTGTCACTCCATTTTGCAATTCTCTCCTCTAATGGTTCAAAATCATTTAAGTGCTCATGATGTCCCAATTTTCATCCCTGGCCTCAACCTGTAGTCCATATTACTAACTGCCGGTTCCTCTACAACATTATCGTTATCATTCCAATATCAACACATCTCAACAAGACTCAGTCATGGACCTTCTCTTTTCTCTCCACTCCACAAATGGCACAAAATCCCCCTCTTAACTTGGATGAAATTGGAAGCCTTTTCCCTATTTATTTTCAGAGAAGACAATTTTGCAGCTAGCTAGTCTGAGAAGTCTAACAATAAACATGTTAGAGAACAAATATATTACCTCTCCCACATGGAAATGCTTCTGGAAATACCATAACTTTTCTAAAAAAAGAAAAGCCCTGAGTTTTAGGTCAACCACACATCTAACTTTTCTGGTTCTTACTGCTGGTCATTCTAGGCTAATATACAACTGTTCTGAATTTGAGAAGAGTCAACAGTAAGGATAAGTGTGATTTCTCACCCAAAAGGTAGAGTTGCAGAACGTCTCCAGCATGATTCCTAGGGTACTTGTGGAATGAAGACTCTTATGTGGCTTGTTTCTTCTTATTTCTTCTTTTGCTCAGAGAAGGTGGAAGGTGAGTAGCAGTGTGGTATTTTTCATTCTGATGCTCTGATTTTCCAAATAAAGGCAGGTCTCCTGACCTTTCATCCCAACAACTTAATTATTAACCTTGCTCAGATGAGCATTTACCTTATTTTAGTGAACAGACATGTGTGCTGAACCCCAGGAACAGGCAGACTCACGAGTTCCCAAAGTACCGGAAGACTCAGCAGGTGTGGTCATACCTAAGAGGAACACGGAAAGGTGTCAGCAGAGCTGGCGGACAATCCAAAGTGGAGGAGCTTCCCTTCTCCTGAAGACACATGACCTAAATGAGAAGCCTGGAGGGGAGAGTATGCACCCCTAAATATGCAGGTTCACTTCTGTTTTAAGGCCTCAGAGTTTATAGAAATGTGAAATATTCTTCTCCTCTGGATTTTTAATTAGGAGCATAGAAGTTAAAACAGAAGTTAAAAATAGGGTAAACTTGATTTGCAAAAGTCATTATAAAATAGCAAATCCATTGTGAACCTACATATATACATAATGAATACAACAAAATGTTAACCTTAGCTATTAGGATTGTGGGTGATTTTTATTTCCCTTTTTGCTTGTGTGTAGTTTTCTATTTTTTCCATAATTATCAGGTATTATTTATGTAATAGTATTCTTAAAGCAATTTTTTTGTATTTTGGAAAAAAACACAGATGTAAAATTTACCATCCTGTTTTTAAGTTTACAGTTCAGTAATGTTAAGCACATTCACATTCTTGGGCAACCATCTCTAGAACTTTTTCATCTTACAAAACCGACACCTTATACCCATTAGAAAACAATTCCCCATTTCCCCATTCCCCTAATAAAGCAAGTGCTCTTTTAAAATCACAGCACCCTAAATTAACAGCAACTAGGTAAGCTTATTAACATATTAAACTGCAAACACCATCATTTGGAGGATCATGTGGAAACATTCTGGTCAGCTACAAAAAAAGCCACATCTTTGTTCTGTGGGTATACACAGACTGTATCTACAGAGATTAATTACAGGAGAGTAATGTATACTTTAAAGTATACATACATACATATTTTAATGTTTATGTTCATGCCTGGCCTAAGGTTCACTATACCTTTGATTATCTTAAATTCACAAGTGATAATAATATTTACCACTAGTACCAGTGGATGTGTTCTGGATTGTTAGCATCTGAAAGATGTATACATTTTATTAGGACATTCATTCAGTTACCTTCTTATGAGAAGATAATCATAAGATGGACTTCCACATTTTTCTATGTGCTTATAACAATGTTACAGTAATTTAGGCCTTGGAATGAGATCAGATCCAGAGTCAGATAAAGGCATGATATCAGTATAGTGGCTCTGATACAGAACTCTGACCATACCAACAAAAACAAGCTGCAAAGATGTGTTAAAAAGAGAAGCACATGCCCCAAAATGGAGTTACTTATGCTAGGCCAAGTCCCCAAACCAGGGCTTAATACCTAACCTAATTACAGTTTCAACCTCTCCCAGAAATGTCCTAACCCCTTCCCCTAAGAAAACAAATATTCTTTTAAATCAGAGCACCTAAATTAACTGATATTCAGGAATTCTCTGGTCAGCACCAAGGAGGTAATCCATCACATGGGTGGGTCCTCTCTCTACCCACCAAAGGAAGATGAGGTAATTTACCTAATAAGACCCCCTGCTCTTCCCACTAAGGGGTGGTAACCTTGCCTGAAAAAAATCCTTTCTTTTGCTAATAATTTCCTTGCCCCACCTCACTATTAAAACCTTAATTTTTTAAAATAAACCTTTTTCCTATAAAAGCCTTCCTTGGAGCTCCTCTCTAATTGGCAGATGAGATGCTACTGATTCATGAATTGCTTGAGTTTTGTCTTTTAACAGATGGCATATCATAGATTTTTAAAAATCCATCAGTGAGTGCACAAAGAAACCTAAATTTTTTTTTAAAGTAAAGAAGAAACTTAAATGAATCAAACCAGGAGTTGGCTTTGGACCATGGGCCATACATATCTAGCCGACTCATGTTTTTGTGTGGTCTTGACGCGAAGAATGGCTTTTACTATTTTAATTTCAAAATGTAAAAAAAGACTATGAACAGTCTTTCTATAAGTATTGCTCAATTTTAATTATTGGCCTGGAAAGTCCAAAATATTTACTATTTGACCCTTAAAAGAATAGTTTGCCAACCCTTGAACTAAACTCCAGAAATGACAAGATCTTTATAAGACAAAAGAGAGCCACAGCAGATTTCATCTATGCCTGAAACAGAGCAGGGAGGAGAAATCTACCCTAAATGTGGGTCAGAAGAAACCAGCCTACCTTCTTACAAGCTTTCCTAGGCTATGTGTGGGGCTAGTATTACAGATTAGAATATCTAGAAGAGCCCCAGAAACAGTCTAGACTGCACAACTCCAATGCTTTGCCACACTGGTCTTCATCTAGTGCTGGGAATAGCGCTACGAAAAGGGAGGTGGCAGGAAAGCTGAGGGAACCCCCAGGCACTCTAAGCTTGCACTTGTAGAAGACTAGGGCAGAGGCAACGGAGTTGAGAGAAACCCCTGCACTGCAATCCCACCGTCACAGAGAGGAAGGCAGCCCCAGTCATCCTTGGAATGGCCAAGGGAGGCAGCAGGCCACAGGGCTGAATGAGTGCTCCCAAGAAAATGGGAGTCAGGGGGCAGGACTGGTGGCAAAGAGATCTCTACCATAACCCACAGAGTTTTACCAAGATTTTCCCACTTGAGTCCTGCCATCAGAACCAAGAGAAGTGTGAGCCCAAAGGTGTACCTTGTTCCAATTTGGATCCCGTAGGTCCACAGCTCACCTTTCCTGGCTATTCTGGTGAGTTAAATAGATAGCGACTGAGCTCTTTGGCTCTTGCAGGCCAAGCCATTTTTCAGATAGAATTTATCCAATTATTCTTCCCTTCTGGTGTTAGTCATGCGGGATTTTGGTTGTCAACCATTTATGGTGATTTCGGTCAGGTGGCATTCAACAGGAATCCATTCTGTGACAGATGGTAGACAACAGGAAATCTGGATTTGTTAGCCTTGTTGTTTGTTGTGCCTGTTTATCATGAAGATTCTGGTATTTTCGGGCATTTTTAACTAAGTTTGAGAACTTATTATGTGCTTCTGATCAAATAGAGAATACACTGTGTACACTTGATTTGTATATACACTTAATAAGGGTATACACCCTATAGTTCTAAGGATCAGAGCCTTCTTCCTCTCTCTAGTAATTGTCAATATCTTCAAAATCCATTCCTTTAGGAGCTAAGTTTGACTAAAGAGGAGAAATGAGAAAATCTGATGAGAGAAATAAATGGGACAATCCTGGCTCATCTGAAGTGGTGAGGCTACTGCTGTACTGGCAGGTACTAGACAGCTTGTCCTGCATGCTCCATAGCCAAACTCCAAGGGTTTTCAGAAAATTCACAAATATCTGAAATTGTTTTCCCTGATGAACCAGCTGGCCTGCTCAACACCAGACTTCCCATGCTGGCCTCTTTGATGCCCTCCAACTGAACAGCTTAATCCAGGAAAACCCTCATGATTCCCAAACTGTGTGTTTTCCTCCCTCCCTACCTGTCTCTTTTATAAATTCTGGTTTTTGTCTTTGTTCATTGACAGCAATGTAAGTACAGTCTCCCTCATATATGAAAGAACTTGCATACCAACTTCCAACTAAATGTCTGAGTTATTCTTTGACAATGATGTCAGCTGTCTATCTCTCACCTATTGACTGCATTTATCTAGCAAATAGTTGTGAGAGCAAATTGACTATGCTTGGAAATGTTCACTGGGACTGAAGAGAGGCCCTGATGAGTGGTATGATATGAGTGTGTCATTTTCTAAAAATAAAATATAACCCCCCTATGATGTCTATTGCAAATAAGAGACACAAAAAGTGTCTGGTAGAAATTATAATCATGTTTTTAAGCAAGCAGAATTTGTATTTACTTGTGCTTAAGATATTTTGAGTAATAAAAAGAGAGGGTGGAAGATCACAGGTGGTGCACTGCACCTGTGCCTTCCAGCCTCCCCTCGCCTCTCCAGACTCTAGCAAGCTGCAGGGCGAACTTGGAAGGAAAAGAAGCAGAACCAAAGGGTTATAATGACGAGCCAAAGATCACACAGCTGGCTAATGGCAGATTTTAGAAGGTGTGTTAAGAAAAAAATGGAAGGAAGAATGGCTGACAAGTTTGTACAAAGTGCCAGCTGTTCAATATTGAATTTATTCCACAAGTGACTGCTGAGCATCCAGTACCCGAAAAGCCCATCAGCGATCGGGACTCAGCACCTGCCATGGGGTGGCTGGTTGTTACCGATTTCATATGATCGTCAGTGGAAACCCCAAAACATCACACAACAGAATGCCAATGGTGTTACACTGACAATTTCTGAAAAGAATGCTCTTTGAGGAATTCACTACCTACAGTTTCTAGTGTGTTCTACACATACAAGATCATGGTTGTGTGGACTTGGTGGGAGGCACTGGGTGAAGAGCAAGCAGGAACTCTATAGCTGGAGTGCCCAAATCAGACCCCCTACCTGCCACTAACCTCATTGATCAGCTTACATGACATTTTCAAAAATGGATAATCAAAAGAAGCAATTGGCTGGCAAAGACAAAAGTGCAGTGAAGAAACAAAGACTGATGAGGCTGGATGGGAAGTCAAATCAGTAGGAATTGGACTTACTACTGTGGGAATGTTCATACTGCTGCTATTTGAGAGGCTTTAGATATGCAGCCAGACAACTTAGCGAAGACAAACTTGCCAGCACAAATGAGAATGGTTGTGGAAAAAAAGAGATGAAGATATTCAAAGGAAGTGACACCAGCAAACAAAACTTCCTATTACAGAAATTTTCAGATACAGTGTTCAACATTGAAAGCACTCAGGGTAAAATGTTGGAATCTGTGACAAACTTGGAAGGAATTATGACAATTCATCCTGGCATGGAAGAGATGCACATACTGTATTGTAAATAATATGATGAGAAGAAGGCAAGCACTGTTCTTCGTATTTTTCAAAAAGAAAAAGAAAC